TACCACACACACATACGGTGACATGTCCTCCCACCGAGGGCCCAAACCAGGCCACCTGAACCTTCCTGCCATCAGCAGCCCCTCCAACCTTAAATGGGCACTAGCCCTTTATAAGCAGCCACCTGCCCTCAGCCCCCTGCCTAGCCCCTAGCCTCACCCTTTCAGCTTGGCACCCTGGATCCTCCAACCCCAAGACCCTGAGGTGACCCTTTTTTTGTCACGGAAAACCCAGGCCCCAGGAAGGGGTAGCCACTTGGTCAGGGTCTCCCAGCTCCCTGGCAGAATCCCAGCCCATCCCCCCCCTCTAGGGTGCCCCCAGTAGCACCTTGGGGTCCTTCTCATAGTAGTGCTGCTGTGTGCGGATCCAGCGCCCAACGAGGTGGTCACGCACAGTGTGGGCCAGTGCAAAGTAGTAGTCGCGTGGGGTGGCCACATTGCGGTCCTTGACCAGTGTGAAATGGAGGTGCCGGTTGAAGTTCTTTTTCAGTTCAGTCACATTCTCCACGCCGGCCAGGCCACGAACGCTGATTTGCTTTCTCTTCTCATGGTCTGACAGGGGCCGGGACATGGTTGCAGGAGGGCGGGCCGGACTGAGGGGCAAGTGGACAGGCGGCCTCTGCGGAACCTCCAGCCAGGGAGTGGAGCTCCCCAGCCCAGAAGGGATTTAAAGCCTGGCTCAGAGCAGCTTGCCCCACCTCCCCTGCCATGGGAGGGTCTTGGCCAGGAGGCTTGGAGCTATTTTGGGGGCAAGAGGAGGGGAGGGAAGGGAGGCCTGTTTGCAGCCTGTACTGACCCACTTCCTACAGTCTTCTGTCCTGTTCCTGCTTTTTGCAGGTTTCCAGGCAAGATGAGGCAGGCAGCATTGGCCTGGGAGGCTGTGACTTGGGCTAAGGCATCCCCCGCTGGGCCCCTTTCCTGAGCTACAGATGAAGTGTGGGATTGGACTGTGGACTTTTTTTTTTTTTTTTTACTTATAGGCGAACACAATACCTTTATTTTATTTTTATGTGGTGCTGAGGATCAAACCCAGTGCCTTATGCATGTGAGGCGAGTGCTCTCCCTCTGAGCCACAATCCCAGCCCCATGGACTGTGGACTCTTGCAGAGGCTGGGGGGCTGTCGCAGGGAACGGGTTTCAGGAGGCCTAGTCCTGGGTTCTAGACACAATCTACCCTCAGCAGAGCAGCAGGGCTTGCTTTACACTTTTTTGCTTTTCTTTTAATGGTGCTGGAGATGGAAGCCAGGTCCTGCTAAGTGATATCCTCAGCCCTTTAGATATTTGCCAGGAGGTGCAGACTGAGGAAAAATGAGCCCTGGTCAGGTTTATCATGACAGAGAACCTGGGCTGGGGCGCCGTTGGTGGCTGCACACAGGTAGGAGGGCTGCATGTTATGGCAAGAGGGGCCAAGAACTAAGGGTCAGTGTGCCTTGAACGGAGGTGTGGCCAGCATTCAAGACACTGAGCAGCTGTGAGAAGGGGGACCAGGACCTGAGTTCCAGCAGGTGGCATGTGGGGGGGTGTTGCCTAAGGTAGGGAAACTGCCCTCACCCCACCCCTACCAAAGTTGAGCCACACTAAGTTCCCCCTGTTGCTGTCCCTCAAGGAGCTCTGCAGTGACCTTTCCGTGAGGCATGGTCAGATTACAGGCGAGCTGTGCTGAGGCTCCCAGCCTGGAGCAGGAGTCCCTGGGAACTGTAGTCCTGTGGGCCACCGCGAGGGGTGGCATTCGGGTCTCCCTGGGACCCACATGCCTTCTCTCACCCCCCCACTGCCTATCTGGGGCCATGCACAGGGCAAGGATTAGTAGGTCAGGATTCACGGCTCTGTGACCTCACTTAAAAAATGGGATCTACTCTGCACCTTTCCCCCATTCATTGCTTATGCCCTGTCCCTGACACTGGTTTGCTGTGTGCCCTTGGACTGGTCGCTTTAGCTTTCTGAGCCTTAGATTCCATTGTCTACTTCTGCTGGGTGCGCATGCCTATAATCCTAATGGCTCCAGAGGCTGAGGCAGAAGGATCACAAGTTCAAAGCCAGTCTCAGCAACTCAGTGAGATCCTGTCTCCAAAAATAAAAAAGGGCTGGAGATGTGGCTCAGTAGTTCAGTGCCCCTGGGTTCAATCCCTGATACCCCTTTCAAAAAAAAAAAATTATATTCTCAAATTGAGGCTATATAAACCCTGCCTCTTCCAGTTGCCCTAATCTCTTGAGGGTAGACTTTGGAACTTGTTTTTATTCTTTGGGCAAAGAGAACCTAGGAGTCTGTACTATTTCAAAGGCTGGCTGGGCCTCCCAGGGTGGCAGGCTAGTCCAGGGGAAGAACTGGCTTTTATACTTGAGGGCCAAAGCAGCAGGTCAGAGAGGTTTGGGCAGCTGTGGGGTGCTATTGAGTCTGCTTCAGGACAACCAAGCTGTTGACTAAGCTGCAGCAGTGCAGGCCCATTTGCAAGGCCTCCACTCTTCCACCCGCCCCAGACAGAGGGGTGTTGGCCTGCTTGTATTTGGGGGATGGGGAGGCCACATTTCCAGGAGATCAAGAAAACAATGAATAGCACTTGGGTAGACAGTGACAACTTTTTTTTTCCTTGTGGTACAGAGGATGGAACCCACTGCCTCAAGCATAGTTTCTGAGGCACTATTTCCTTTTATTTTTGGTACCAGGACACTTAAACTGAATCACATCCCCCAGGCCACTGAGGCTGGCTTAGAACTTGCAGTCCTCCTGCCTCAGTCTCCTGAGCCTCTGGGATTATAGGTGTGCACCACCACTCCTATTTCCCATTTTTAATGGAGGAAAAAAAAAAAAATGCCCGGCAGCTCCCTTTCACAATTCAATCCCCATCTCTGCATTCGGCTGCACCTAGCCTCTGGCATGGCCCCGTGTAAGGTGGCCCTGACCTGCATTCTCCCTTAGAGGGTTGTGGCAGAGCCGATTTCTTGGCAGTCACCACCTGACAAGCCTGAGCTCATTATCTAGATTTTCACCACCCTGATCGTGGCAGCATGCTGGGGTCACACAAACTCCACTGCCCCTTATTGCCTCCAAGACTTAACTCAGCCTATTGCCAAGGACCTGACTCCAACAGACCATCCCCACCTTACCTGACACCAAGGTTAGTGGGTGGGTACCTTGCTTGGTGCTGGCCCCACTCCCACCCCAGCCTTATCTTCCTGCACTCCAGGTACTGGCCTACAGGTCACCTGAGCTCTGGCTTTTCTGTGGGTTTCCCATTGTGTGGCACAACACCCTCTTGGACTGCCTCCAGGTTCTTCTCCCTGGGGTGACACCACCACAGGGCCCCACCTTTATTCTGCACACCCCAGCCCAGCATGTCAACCCCCTGAGGCTCAAAGTCACCTCCAGCTTCCCATCCTCTCCACTCTCCTTAAACTGCCCCTCACCCCAGGGGCATGAACCCTGAAAGCTCACTTTTCCACCTGAACCAAGTCGAGGTTGTTTATGTTCAGGTTTCTAAGCAGAAACTCGGCCTCCCTCCCTGGACCAATCTTGGGTTTCTGCAGGGTGTCTGGCCCAGTCTCCGTAACAGAGCCCTGATGCTGACCTTTCCCAACTGGCATGCCCCTGGCCAAGTTCGAAGGAGCTGGGATGCTCACTGCTGCAGCAGCAGAAACCAGAACAGCCCTGTCACAATAGGAGGGTGGGTCTTTCTTGCACCCAAGGTAGTGTTAAGGCAGGTAGACAAGTGTTTCCCATCTTCCCAAACACTGCCACCGGGCAGGTGCTTGCCGCCACTCAACAGGACCAACAGCTTCCACTCGTGTGGACGGATGCCTTTTTAGCCACTGTTACTCTCCAAAACCTTAAAAGCTGTGGGCTGGGGGCCGAGAGGGAGGGAGCGCAGGAATGGAGCTGGCCCCAGGAGAGAGGCGGAGGAGAAAGCTGGGCTGTGGTTAAGTCATTTATTGATTTTTATTTCTAAAACCCACATAGCGCCACTTTGCTGCTTCCAGAGCTTCAAAGAGCTAATTAACCGCCCAATGAGCCCACCAGGGAAACCAAGCCTGTGGGGGAAGCAATGAGGTGAAGCCAAGGTCAAAGAGGGTAGCTGGGTTCCAAGGCCCTGTCCCAACTCCTGTCAATTAAGAGCAAAGGCCCACCCTTTTCTAGTTTAGGGATCAGTTAGGGAGGCCCACCCCACTCGCCTGCTTCCAAGCACTCGTCAATCCCTGCAGCTTGTGGCTAAGCACAGCATCCTGGACAGGCCCAGATGGCCGGCTCTGCTCCAGGGAACAGAAGCAGCCCCAGCTCAAAACTGGAGAGCAGCCCAGTTCTAAGGTGGCTCTTCCCAGGAGTGGCATAGCCAAGCAACAGCAGCAGAGGGTGGCCAAGAGCCTCACTACCTCATGGACTTGTAACACAATTTTTCTGATGCCACAACAGGTACCATGACAGCCCCAGACAAAGAAACAGCCAGCCTAATACCCTCCATGAAGATGTGCTGCTGACAAAGCACAAGGTAGGGCGCTATCTTGCCCCCACCACTCCCCAAGCCTACAGTGTTGGCAGCCGTGAGCCACCAGCAGAGAAAGAAAAAAAGCCACTTGGCGGTTTTAATTTTAGCTACTATGCCTGACAGGCAGGATTAGCTGGCTTGACCTTTAGTGCTGATGGCCCCCCAGGCCCAGGGCCTTAGTCAGGTGGCAGTTTGCAGGCACAAGTCACCACTGGAGCTTAGCAAATGTGGGGGTCCAAGTGCCAGGGAAAGGCCTTCAAAAGGACAAACGAGAGAGATATGGGGTAAGCTTGGTTCTCAGTGCATGAACCAGAAACAAGACAGAGACGGAGGGGCCACCCACACGCTCCACTCCCGGAAACTCAGTCTCGCAGGGAGCAGGTGGAAGGCTTCCTTAATTAATGTCCCATGGCTTCACTCCAGAAGGGGGAACAGGGGCCAGATGCTGAACACAAACAAAGTATGGCAACCTTGGGGCCACTGTGGGTGGTGGCAGAGGGTTAAAAGAAAATAAAGAAACAGACCCAGAAAACCACACTGCTCTTTTATTCAACGGAACACCCCCCTTTAGTGCAGTGTTGAATCAAACACCGAAAAAAAAGCCCAGAGAAATTTCTGTAGATAAACCAGTGAAGAGAACGCGCGTTACACATTACTGTCAACATAATCACTCCATGAAGAGGGAAGGGGCGGGGAGAGAAGCAGAACAAAGAACGAGGGGCTCAAACCCCTAGACACTGCAAAACATTCAGACATTCGGGACTAAAATAAAAGAGGAAGGCTTCCAGGAAGGAGAGGAACAAATGGATTCTGTGGCAGCTTAGGTGGTCGGGGAGCGTGGAAAGGACTCTGGGCTGGCAGGCCAGCCCAAGGTGGCTTCAGCTGTGTCCCTACTGCTGGCAGGAGTGCAGGATGGTTATGAAAAGCCACCCTTGGCAACTTCACAAGTCTCTTTGACAAGGTGGCAGAGATAAACTGCTACTCAAAAATTTAAGACAAACGTCTTTAGGGGTGGCTATGGACCCTTGAAACACTTAGAACCAAAGGACACCACCCCCCAGCCTAACATTAATAGTCAAAGCCTGTGCCTAAAACCATTTGCTCCCCTCTCCTTGGCAAGGGGAGAAGGAGGAATGGAGAGAAGGGAAGGATTCTAATTGCAGCAGAAGACCGGGGAGAGCATCTCCTTGGACGGAGTCTGAAGAAAGGAAGAGATAAGGAAATAACAAAAGAAAAAGAAAAAAATTAATAAAAATTTCACGATATGGAGCCAGCGTGTTCCGATTCCGTCCACAAAAATAACTCAGGCTGCTTTGCCGAACCATCCTGTCCACCAGGGGCGCTGCTGAGGCTGTCTGCCTGGAAGGGTCACCAATGGGCGCGGAAAGTCCTCACTCTCATGGCTCGGGCCATCGCCGCTGCGGGGAGGGATCCTGGCGGCCCGGTTTGGGGAGAGGCAAAGGGAGTTGGGTGAGGAGAGAAAGAAGACAAAGAAGACACTCGATGCTACGGGGCGCCAGGAGAGCCCAAGCTGGCGCCCCTACTATATCCTGCCCGTTCCCAAGCGATTTCTCAGTCGCTTGGCCCAGCCCGGTGCGTGCACACACACACATGCGTGCACACACAATCACATGCGTGCGTCCCAATGTCTGGCTCCATATGGTGAGGTTCGGCGTGTGTTTAAACGAGACCAATTCTCTCTATATATAATATATATTTTCTTAAAAAACGAGTCTAGTTCTGTGGTGGAGGCGGTGGGGGAGCTGGAGGCATCCCGAAGGGTGGCATGCCCGCCACCCCCATGCCCATCATGGTGACAAAGTTAGAAGGGTCCATGGGAGGCGGAGGAGGAGGGGGCGGGGCATACATCATGCCGGCGGAACCAGGTGGCGGAGGCGGCGGAGGGGGAGGGGCCCCGGGCGGCAGAGGCGGCTGGACCCCGGGGGGCAGGGGCACCATAGTGGGGTTGCCTTGCATCTGAGGGGCTCCTGGAGAAGCTGCGGCAGCCGCCTGCTGCTGTTGCCATGGCGGGATGGACCCTGTGCCAGCGCTCGTGGTGGTAGTCGTCGTATCTGGGGTGGTAAAGAAGCCCAAGGTCACACGCGCGGGGGGGCACACCGCGGCTCTCTGCGGCTGCTGCCTTGGGATGGGGGGCGAGGGGCGCCTGCTCCTTGCTTGGCATGCGGTACGGTGGTGGGGGGCGGGCGGGCAGGGCTGTCCTGGTGATGGGGAGTGGAGGGGTGGGCAGGACTACCCTGGGGTCAGCCTCAATGTCTCTGGGCTTAACAGCATAAGCCCTTTGTCACCAATGCCCCTGGAGGGGCTGAGGGAAAAGTACCAGACTCAAGAACCGGCTCTGACGTCCCTCCGCCCAGCCGCCGCCACCACCGAACGGCACATTCAACCTCAAGGCCACAGCTGCTCTCTCCCCACTGCCCAGTCCCTTCTCTGCAGTCTCTCAGGCCCAATCACAACCCCGTCCAGAGCAAGCATGCACCTTCCCACTCGGCCCTATGTACAAGACGGGCCAGCCAGCAGTTCACTCAGCTGGCAGAGCCTGGACTTCCGATACCCTGCCTACAACTGCAGGCTCCCCTCCAGACCCCCACAAATCTCTCCCCAGACACAACCACACCAAACATCAGCTTTCCTCCCCAAGACACCCCCAGGGCCAGGCGGCCCCTTCCATTTCTGCCTCCCAAATCCCCCAGCCGAGAGCGAGTCTCTTCCCAAGGTGTGTGAGCTATGAGGTCTTATTGTTCTAAACCCCAACCCTTGTCCCACCCACCCCCACAAGCCCAAAATATTGCACTCACTTTGCTGCCATGGCAAGGGGGTACTGGAAGCCATACTGCTGCTGGGCGGAGGGGGTGGCGGAGGCTGCTGCTGCTGCTGCTGCCATGGGGGAAGAGGACCAGAGGGAGGGGGCGGGGGCTGCCCACTGGGAGGCGGCGGCGGTGGCGGCATCATGCCCATAGGCGGCGGCGGCATCATACCTGCAGGTAGGTCAAAGAAGGGTGAGGCCTCAGGGAAGGAGGGGACCTGGGCCAGAGCCCCTGCTTACTTAACACAGACTTAGGTGGAGACCCACAGCAAGCAGACAATATTACCTTTTCCTTGATGCAGGCGATAGACCCCAGAGCCCACAGGCGTACTTCCCAGGTACTGATCTTGATGGAAGGAAAGAGCAGGGACTTAGCAGGACATTTGAACCAGCCAGGGAAGACACCCCCCAACATCTTCCTCAGTCACATAGCTTGAATACTACCCTTGAGACAGCAGCTCTGAAAAGTCTTCATATGGAGGCAGTGCTGGACCTCCCCATGCACAATGCACTTCTTACTCAGATAGTCTTGCTCCTTCTAGAACCCAAGACTTGGCAAGGCCAGTAGGCCCAGTGCACTAGTAAGCCATTGTGAGAGCTGTTTTCAGCTCACAGGGACCCTGACAGAAGCCCGTGCTTACCCCAGAGCCCCAAGGTTTCTGGTCTGACACTTACTTACCCATTGGAGGAGGGCCATGGTGCCCAGGTGGGTGGGGGCCCTGGTTCATCGGTGGTGGCGGTGGCTGCATCCAAGGGGGTGGGGGTCCATTTGGGTTGTGCTGCATGGGATGTCCACCATGCCCACCTGTCAGGCTGGGTAATGGGTGTGGGAAGCTGTGGGGGCCACCTCCAGGCCCGCCAGGACCACCTCCATGCATGCCATGATAAGGCCGACTCTCTGAAGGGCCAGAATTCATCCAGGGTGGGCGGCTCTGGGTGGTGGACATGAGAGACTACGTGAGAGCATTTCCGGCCAACGTCCCTGTCTGCTCCCCCTGATGGCAACACTGTTCTTCCAGCTATGCCATAGGACCAGGATAAAAGCACAAGAGGCCTCCCAAAGTAAGAAGTCCCCCACTGGCCAGACATTCCGGAAGAACAATGTTGCCATCCATGTCCATCACTCAGCTCCACCCAAAGCACTTGGCCATAGCTTCCAGTCTCTGAGGAAGAGACTAGGGGACCAGGCCAAAAGAACCCTCCCCCAAGGCTCACCGGTGGAGGCGGGTTGTTGGCAGGAGCAGCAGGCCGAGGTGCACTAGCCAAGGGTGTGGTCGCAGGCCCAGAGGTGGAGCCCACAGATGCTGGGACAGGAGCTTCCCCAAGTTCAGCCATCAAGGACAAATATTCTTTATCCATCCGTGCTTTATCCTGAGCTGACTGGGGGTCACCAGGCCTGAAGTGGGGTGGGGGATACAGAGAGCAGGGGAAGCTTTGAAGATTCAGCCCTCAGATCACCCTTTCTTTCTAACCTCTTACTAGGCATATAGTGTAAACAGTCCTACCAGCTCCTTGGTTCAGGGCCATTTCCTCATCTAGAGCGCCAGTGTCTGCCACAGCAGAAGCCCTGGGCCAAGAGAACTGGTGAGGAAGCACCAGGCCCCTGATAGTCATAAGAACACAGGTTCACCCTCTCCAGTTTCATCAAATCCTACTTGCCCATTATGAAAGAAAGAAAGTCTCTCCAAGACTAGGCAACTGCCAAAAAGAACCTTAACAAAGCCTTAGAGAAATGCTGGTGTCAAGGGCTGATTTACAAATAGTCAAATTCTGTAGTCAGTTTTGTTTTGTTTGTTTTTGATACTAGGGATTGAACTCAGGGATTGTCTGCCACCAAGCTATATCCCCAAGTTGTTTTTTTTTTTTTTTTTTTGGGGGGGGGTACCAGGGATTGAACTCCAGAGCACCACCACTGAGCCACATTCTCCATCCCTATTTTGTATTTTATTAGAGACAAGTTCTTACCAAGTTGCTTAGTGCCTCACTAAATTGCTGAGGCTGGCTTTGAACTCTCGATTCTCCTACTGCTGGGATTTCAGGTGTGCACCAGCGTGCCTGGCCCCCAAATTTTGAAAAATATTTTTTAGTTGTACATGGACACAATACCTTTATTTTTATGTGGTGCTAAGTGAAAATCAAACCCAGTGCCTCACACATGCTAGGCAAGTGCTCTACCACTGAGCTACAACCTCAGTCCTATTCTTTGAAATTCTTAGAAAGGATCTCAGTTAAGTTGCTTGGACCCTTGAACTTGAGATCCTCTGCCTCAGCCTCCTGCCAGCTTTGAACAAATCTTTAAGCAGCAAAGGCAGTGAACTAATATTGAGCCTCAGTGAAAACATTATAATAACCAATCTGGGCCTGTGGCACACACCTATAATCCTGGTGACTTGCAAGAGGATGCCATGTTTGAGACCAGCCTCAGCAACTCAGCAAGACCCTCTCAAAATAAAAAAGGACAGGGGATATAGTTCAGTGATAAAAATTCCCCTGAGGTTCAATCCCTAGTACTAAATAATCAGAATAGAAACCTTTTGGTTTTCTTGGACACAAGACAAACAATAAAACAGAGTTGTTCTGTAAGATTGTTTCTAATCCTTCTCAGTTTTATCAATCACACCATCACCCAACCATGTGCTAAAGAGAACTATCTTGTATGTCACTGGTTACCAGAAAACCCATAGAACAGCTAGTCCCTCACCTTTGAAACTTGCAATCTGAAGCAATGTGGCCAGCTCCTCCACACTTAGTACACACTGTAGTATTGGTAATGCTGCGGGTCTCTGAGCTCTGCCAGGGTCTTAAGATTCTGTTGAGAAGAGAAAATCAACTCAAAGGCTGTGAACACCCTCTCCACTTGCACAGCTTCTTCAGGTCTCTGCACACTCCTCTCAACTGATCACTACCTGTTATCATCTTCCCGAAGGGTACCATTCAAGCGAGCCAATTCTCGAAGCTGCATCTTCCGTAGATCATTCTGGTCCTCTGGGGTCTCAATACCTTGCTTCAGGATGTTTCTGATCTAGTGAAGACACAACGAGAAGTTAGTCATGCATAACTGTAATCCCAATGACTCAGGAGGCTGAGATCAGTCCCTGTAACTTAGTGAGATCCTATTGTAAAGTAAAAAGGGTTGGGGACTTAGCTCAGTGGAAAAGTGCCCCTGGATTCAATCCCCAGTACAAAAAAAAAAAAGAGAGAGTAGCAGCTAGCTGCCTACGTGCTACGTGCCTGGGCCACCACCCAGATTTCTATTAAGAGGTTTCCTTTCTTGGCTCGTCACTCACCTGTTCTACTGCCTTTTTAACATTCTCCATTGTATTGGCAGTGACTAGGGCATGAAGTGGCTCATCTTCCCCTGGCAACATCTGGCCATCTTTGCGTCCAACCTTCCCTTCTTTCACAGACCCTTTCCCCCGGATCATGATCTTGGCGTTACACTCCTTCTCAATATTCTTCAGGGTGTTCCCTCTAGAGGCATAAAGGATTTAGTTAATACTCAAGTTCACACTCGACAGAGGCTGGGCTGGGTGCAAATTGATGGAAAACTACAACTATAGAGAATCAAATTTTCCCACTGAAAACTCTGTGCCCTTTAAGGTAAAGCTAGTCACAGCGAATCTGAGGATTTTCTTTCTCTGAAGTAAAAAGAGAATATTGACAAGAGTTCTCACAGAATGGCCTAGTTCAGCCAAAGTCAATGCCTTACTAAAACAAAACCAATGAATGGCACCCCAATTAGGCACAAGGAGACACATCTAGGCTCTAAGGAATTCTATACCCCAATAAGCTAGTGATTACTCACCTGGGCCCAATTAGTAGCCCAACAAAGTTGATTTCTGGATACTCATCTTGAGGGATCATTACTTTATCACTCACACGTGTTGCTGGAGGTCTAAAAAAGAAAGACAGTCACCAACTCTGCACATTTCCAGATGAGATCACCCAGTTTTTCTAAAACTAAACACCAGTATTATTTATGGGTGAGCTTGTACAAGTGGTGAGTAGTACCAAAACTGCCCCAGCAGGTCACATTTGACAGGCATGTAACCTTGTCCCAAGGGACCTAGTCCCTCTGCTTACTTATAATCTGCAGGTGGCTTGAAATCAGGGTTGAGGGCAACCATCTCTGTGATGAGGTTGTGCCGCTCCTCTTCCAGCTTTTTGCGGGTACGGAACTCTCTGGTGTTAAGTCGCTTCCCCTCACTATTGTAGATGGGCTCAGGGGAAGGGGACCTGTGGGAAACAGACCCCCGTTACTGCTCTGTCCCTACTTCCCTCAGTCCCACATGGACTATAACAGTCTTCCCCAGCCCCTCTGCCTCTCAGACCCTAACACTCTTCGGAGGAACCGACCATAACGTGTGCTATTTGAGATCGTGTGGAATGGGGAAATGGAAGCTGGCTTAGTATTTTGGGGACTGGGGTGTGTGTGAGAAAGGAAAAAAAAAGGTTTTGTTTCTAAAAGTGATGTGGGGGGGAGTCTGTCCTTTGGGGGAAATCTCTGGACTGTAAGTGGCAAGGACAGTTTCATCCACAGGAGTCTCCTTGCCAAATATAATTTTTCTTTCATTTGGGAAAAAAAATGCACTATCCCAACTTGGTTAACCACAGAAACCCGAGTTTAGGTGAAACATTCTCTCTTGGAGAGCTCATGCCTATCAGGAAGAGCATTTGTACCCCTGACACATAGTGAACACGAGCTCTTTCACCCAAAGCAGCTGGGACTCAAGCTATTGCAGCTACTTGGTCCCCACAATGGAGAGAGATGGTTCAAGGCTTCGTCTCTGCTTTTCCTTCAATGGCCTGGCTGGCTGTGTCCAAGGCCCAGGAGACAACCTGTTTCTGGCTGTTCGAGGTGGGGAGTCTGGATGGAGAAAACCGTTAAAGTGCTAAAGCAGCTTCTGCTAGAGCTGCAAATGCAGATTTGGTCAAATACTTGTCTAGGGTCTGAACCTGCCAACAGCAAGGGGGAAACCTATGATTCTCCGCCAGAGTTTACAAGTCCAGAAAGCAGATTATTCTCTCTCATTTTTTAAGGAGTAAAATGCTGATGCTACAAGCAAAAAAAATAGTAATGATAAAATGGTCAGTTTACCACAGCTGGATTTTGCGGTAATAAAAAAAGAGAAGTCACACTCCTAGAATTCTGAGTTAAGATTACAAAAAGGACCATAGCTTGATATTCTGTATGAAAATTTAGTAGCAGCTGCAAGAAGGGAAAGACCATGTGGATCAGGTTATTAAAAAAACATCCTGAAAGTAGTTCAGACTCCTACACCCTTGGTTTAGTTGAGAGAACCTTGCCTAGATGGAGAGCAAGGACTGAACTCGGCTGCTCCCACTGTCTTCAGCCTAAAGGTAACCATGTCATACCACGTCACACACACGATGGAATAAAAGGTCAGGTTTGTTCATGACTAATGACGGCTAAATGACACCTCCGTTTCTAGCATTTGTATAAACTGTTAGCACAATCCAGTGAAAGTGAACACAGGCAAACATACCCCAGCTCATTAGACTATCATCTTACACATTAAGGTCTACAAGAGATTTTAAAACACCTTTAACTGTGCAAGTTAAATAACATCAAAATAGCATATGAAGTGGCTTAATTTTGATATACCTTCTTAAGAAATAATCTTATTAAAGTAAGAAACTTATGCATTTCCTTCCAACCTGGGCTCAAAAGCAAAACCAATCAGGCATTAGGGCCTCTTTCAAAACTAAGTGCAAGGGAAGAAAAATCCTGCTCTGGTTTTATTTCTAACATGCTTGACATTTCTATGCCCACCCCACAGCTGTCTAGAATTGAGCACTTCTGGCTAATCACCAGAACAAGTTGTACCAGTCCCAAACTGGCCATTTAAAGGCCTCACAGTTTAACCTCTTCCCAAATTGTGGAAGTGAAAGGCAAAAGCTAATAATCTAGAGGTTAGGCTGGCTGGACTTCTTCACCTGAATAGGCATCGGGCACATCAACTAAATTCTAATCCCAGTTCTCCAGGAAGCAAAGAGGTTTGTTAAAAACTCAATCCTTTAGAGGAATTGCCTGTAACCTGTAGACATTATTAAAGGGGAAAAGGCCAAAAAGACAACTAAACAGTTGTGGTCTATAACCTACAATGGAAATCTTAAAAAGAAAAAAAAAAAATCTTCAAAAAGAAATATAACATAACACAATCTTCCAACCAAAATCTACAGGTAAAAATATAACGGATTTATTAAGTAAAATTAGAGAGTCAACATGGAGAAATAACGAAGCTGTTTCCTGGCAAAAGGCAGCAGAAAGATGCACATGAGTGACTTGTAAAGCCATTCTATCATCTTCCTGACTGAATGAGCCAGACTGGGTAACAAAAACCAAAAACACTACTTTTTAAAGCAAAGTCTTTTTAAGTATGCTGCATGCACTAAGAGGTATTTCAGTGAGAGGAAGGTTTACTATCTTATTAAGTGATCAGATGTTAGCTGTTCAAAGATCAGCCAATACAATTTCAGTTTAAAAAGTCCATCTCCCTCACATAAACTTTACTTTTTAGAGGTGAGAGAAAATTATAAACTGAAATGACATGACCACAGCTGTTTGAGGCCCACATTCCTTAAAAAAAAAAAAAAAAAAAGTAATTTAGGATTGGTTGCTTGCCTTCCCAAAACAGGTGAGGTAAGAATATACTGGCCCCTCCCCAAACCCCCAGGCAATGGCCAAGGCTGAAAATTAATTGGCAGTGAAGGAAGTTGGTTAGAAATCTTACCTACTTTTAAAACCACCTCAAAACCTTAAGCAGAAATAGTGTATCAATGAGCTGGTCTAATTTTCTGCCACGCTTAATTCAGTGATGCTCAAAAATACTCTTAACCCCTGCATCATGTACCTGTGAGAAAAACTACACCCTGGACTTGCAGCCAAAGCAGGCACTGAAAAGGCAGGTTAATGGCCACCTCTCACTGTCCCTCAGGGTGGGTAAATCAGGTTAAATCTACATGCTTACCAATTGGAAACCAGTTGTCCATTTTTATGTAACTTTTTATTCTTTTTAGTTAAAACTCCAATTTTCTAACTGTTGACTGACCACATACATTTACTAATTAAACCCTAGTCCCCAGAATGGTCAGACCACCAGTCTCTTTAACTAGGATTTTATCGAACTGACACAATGTTGCCACCAGTAAAATGTATTGAGAAAAAGGTAAAAGCGTTACTGTCAGCTGGTTAAAACTGTTTCCCAACCTGTCCTCAGGGTTAGGGGGGATGCCCAGGTCTCCTGTGCGCAGTTTACGAGTCAGGTCTTCTATCTGCAGTTGCACTGGAAGAAACCAGGTTAGGAAAGAAAAAAAAGGATGGAAAAAAGACAATGTTACCAAAAAACATCTCAAATCTCAACAACAAGCATGAAGAACTCGGAGACTTTGAAAGGGACGATTGATTGATCAGTGAACACATTGAGGCAAAAACCCCCAACCACCTATTGGCAGAAGTCCACTTACATCTATAGGTTATTTTTTCATTTCAAAATGGTTATCACTTAAGGAAGCAAACCGTTTGTTGGAAGAGGGGTTAGCAATAAAGACTGTTCACTAAGGCTAACATCAAAAGCAATTATCAGGAGGTGTTCACTTTTCCCTCCCCACCAACACTTGCTTATTACAATTGGCACCCCAAACCAACACCCATTGTGTGATATCACCGGTACCTGGTTCCCATCAAATTACTTGAGGGCAAGACTTGCGAAGTTAATTTTTCTTTGTGAAATATTAAACATAGCCCAAAGTGAGACCCAATTAACATGGGACAAAGAAAAATACCAGTTGAGCAAATATCATTTCAATTAAGACCAGGTTTTAAACTTCTGAACAAGCAATACATTCAATAACCAATTTGACATCTTATAGCAATTTATACATACACTTTCTGTACATCCAGACCTGTTACTAGTAAAGGTCTCCCATACCTGCGGTTTTTATGCAAACATTAAATGGAAAATCATGTTTTATCTTCATACACCAATAGGCATAAGGTGCTAGGAGTTTATTTTCAGACCTGCTATTGATGTGTAGAGTAGGTATGTAGAAGATGCAAAGTGTGGATCAAGGAGAATATACGTGGCCCTCAGGCCTTGACCTGAGGCTGTACCCAAAAGAGAGATGAGGGTTTCACAAAAGTTGCCAGAGAATCCAGGGAAATGTTACACAGCTGATTTCCCAAAATAATAGGAACTGCAGAGCCAGAGTACTTTCTTCAACAAACTAATCAACCACCTGTTTCTTACCTTTGCAGCATCTCAGAGTTCTTAGTAGGCACCTCTATCAAGGGCAAGGCTAACTGAGTTGGATTAGAGTTGAGTTGGCTCCTAGATATATTAATGTACATCTAACCCCAGATACCTTCTAATTTGAAGTACATCACACAGGGATATATACCACACCCTCACACTGAACTTCTCAAGAAATGAAAATCCATTAATACAAAAGACAATATTAGGGGCACCCTGGACAAGACACTGTGTACTGTGAGAGACAGAAGGCGAGTAAGACATGGCTCTGCAAGTTCCTTTATGCCAGACACTTTTGACTTCAGTCAATGATGTGGCAGTCCTCTCAGGTGGATTGTGGGGGTGTGGGTTCTGAGCTGAATAAATAGTTGATACTGAAATTATAAAAAGTGTTGCTATCTTCCTGGGATCAGAGGCCTGTACCAATCTCTGCTTGGATTCTATCTACACTTTGATGATGGCTAGAAACAGCCCTTAGGGCTCAGTGCATTAATGAGGCCAACAGGGAGAGGAAATCAAGTTGTAAAGAATGAGTCTGTTGTCCCCATTTTCAGGTCTGCTTGTATTCTTGTGCTATGACTCCACTAGAGGCATTCCACAAGGTTGTTAAGTCCCACACTGGTCTAATGAGACACAAGTGAGTAGGCTGGAGTAGATAGGAAGAGTGGGGAAAGTCTTAGTAGTACTGTGAAAAAGGAGATAGAAAGCCTGTAATCCCAACAACTAGTGAGGACACCGCAGGAAGATCAAGGCCAGGATCAAGTTCTAGGCAGATGATATCCTGTCTCAAAATTTAAAAAGGGCCTGGAGGTGTAACTCAATGGTAAAGGACCCCTGGGTTAAATCCTCAAATCATACAGAATTATAATACCTCAAAATTCTCAACAATTACTGGATACAGTGGCATACACCTAAGACTCCAGCAACTCAAGAGGCTGAGGCAGGAAGACTTTAAATTCAAAGCCAGTCTCTCCAACTTAATGAGACCCCGTTTCAAAATAAAGTTAAAGAAGACAGGCACAGTGGTATACACCTCTAATCCAAGCAACTCAGGAGGCTGAGGCAGGACTACAGATTCAAGAACAGCCTCAGCAATTTAATTAAAGTAACTCAGTGAGACCCTGTCTCTAAATAAAATATAAAAAAGGGCTGGGAATGTGGCTCAAAGGTTAAGCGCCCCTGGGTTCAACCCTCAGTACCCAAAATAATAACTAATTTAAAAAAATAAAGTTAAAGAAAAGGCTTGGGATGTAATTCAGAAACAGAAAATGCTCGGGTGTCCAATCCCTAGTACCAGAAACAAAGCACCTCCCCGCAATAATATAAAAACCACAAAATTAAAACCCTCTCCAAAATTAAGCCATGGGGCCTTGAAGCTTTTATGGGAAGGCCACAGCCTCATAAAGCCTAAGATGTCTTTGCCCTAATTTCCTCCCAAGGGGGTGAGCGGGCAAAGAGAGAGATATTTACTTGATTAGTAGGATATGTTATCAAGCATACTTTCTGAGACAGTTGGACAAGTATATAAAGATTGCATTAGACCTTGTATTATTTTCTTAAAGTAATTTTGAGGTTAGTTTCAATCCCACTGTGGATAGTCGTGAAATATCAAGGGGAAAGCTACCACTTTTTACTGTGTATCAAGCAATATCCCCTTCCCAGCAGAGTTCTTTAGAAGTAAATACAAGAGCCTTCATCTTAAGACAGCTCTCCAGAGGCCAAACCAGAAGATGCTGAAGGGAAGGTTAAATTCAAGAAAATGGTAAAAAGGGGTGAACTGTAAACACACTGTCAAGGAACACTGTTCAAACTGAGTTTTTGTTTTTGTTTTTTTCCTTTTCAGAAAGAACCTATAAAAAGTAAAACCACATTTTAGGGAAAGGGAGAAATATGAAATTATGGTGAAAGGCCATGCTGTGAAAAAGGTACTTGGTTTACAATACCTGCAGTGTTCTCCACTGGGGCCTGTCCAGAGAGGCAGACAAGACACTCACCTCACCAACTAACTGGTAATGAACAGCAGCTGAAAAAGGTGGGCTGCTGGAATGGGGACTATTCTCATTCCTAAATGGGGCCCTCGACCCTTCCTGGCACTCGTGGAGAACACTGCTGTTATGAACAGACCAAAACAAGGAACTACAAATGCAACACTTGCTGAGCAAAACCTGACATTATACCAATGACATGAGAATACATCTGACCATATCTTGTCTCTATAACAATAATAATAATAATAATAAAAAATAGGACTTTCCACAGATATAGCACTCAGAATAAATAATCATCTAAAAATACACTTGGATACAGAACGTGTATTTACCTATGTAAGCTCTTTCTTGTTCCCGAGTAAGTCCAGGGGGAATAACAGTAGGCATTCCTGGAATCACTGTCTTCTGTTCCATTGTATCTTGATTCCATCTGCTCCGTTTCCGCTTCTTACTTGGGAAGTCTAAAGGCAGACAAAGACCATCAGGTGCAAATATAAGCCTGCACAGTATTACCAACAGGCAATTCAGGTTTCTTAGGATATATACGCAGAATGTCAGCACACTCTGAAACTGAGAACTCCACTTAAGATTTAAATGGCAAAGAATGGAAAAACAAACTTCAAAGGTCAGAGATGAAAACATGGCCACTACAAGGGTACTTGGTTCTGGGTCAGGAAAGTTGATATTTCACATTTCAAAATTTTTTCTAGAAGGGCTGGGGTTGTGGCTCAGTGGTAGAGCCCTTGCCTAGCTTGTGTGAGGCACAGGGTTTGATTCTCAGCACTGCATGTAAATGAATGAATAAAAGATCCATCAACAACTAAAAAACATATACATATACACATTTTTTTTGTTGTTGTTTAGAAGAACACTGTAAAGCATGTGAACAACTTTTTTCCAGTGATGGGTATGGAACCCAAATTCCATATAAAGTATTATAAACACATACACTATTATTTACAAATGACTAATGGTCCAGCAGAGACAAGACTGAAGAATTAGTCTATAAAGCAGTACTGAGAACTGCCGGCTCTTCCCAATTCTACCTCCCCCTGTCCCAGTCACCTTTCTAAAGAGATCAGGGGGCTGGGGATATAGCTTAGTTGGTAGAGTGCTTGCCCCACATGCACAAGGGCCCTGGGTTCAATCTCTAGCACCACAAAAAAAGGAATCAGCCTCTAAAGAGATCAGAGCACAACCAAACCAAATTACTAAATGAAAAAGCCTGATTTTTTCACCAGGAAAAAGGTGCAGCCCAGACTAGCATTCAATTTCCCTGATCAGTTGGGCCGACAGGATCAGAACTCTTAAATACCAAATTCAACAAGACACAAACTCTCATTCCCCGATACATGCCATTTCCCTACACGTAGCACGTCGTACGTATACTTCCAAAGGGTACAAGCCCAGAGAGAAACCCTTTTTAAAACTAAGTGGAAAACTGATCACACTGAGAAATCTTAGGGTAAATAAAGGAAAATCAAGTGCCAAAAAAGATCGGACCCAATCACCACCTGAAGCCTTCCAACCTCTTCCACATTAGTGGAAACACAGTTTATTGTAAAAAAATAGATTCCTCTAAGACCAGAATGGGAGCTGCTCCTCGTCGTCAGTGAACCCCTCCCCAGCCTTCACCCTTACACTCTGCACCTGCGTGGACCCCAGGTCCTTTGGTTTGGGCGGCCCAAGGCCGCAGCCACGCTGCGCCTGCGCACCTCCCGCCCTTCCTCCCCCGCCCTCCCCAGCGCGCAAGCGCGCTCGAGGCCCCGTGAACCAGGCCGCGCGCACCCTGGGGCGCCTCCGCCTGGGCCTCCCCGTGCGCGCGCGCGCGCGCGCGCGCCCCTGCCGCGTGCAGCCGCCGTCGCCGCCGCAGCGCGCCCCTCCGCCGGCCGGGCCGGGCCGGTCCGCGCGACGCCTCTCGCGCTGTCGGCCCGACTCACCTCCTCCGCCGCCGGCCGGGCCCGGCTGCTGGTCCTGACGCGGCGGCTGCGGCGGCGACACGCGCTGGTAGAGCGACGGCGCGGGGGGCGGCTGCGGCGGCGGGTACGAGGCGCCAGGGGACGGCGGCGGTGGCGGCGGCGGCGGCTGCTGGGGAGGCGGGGGGGGCGGCGGCGGCGGCGGCGGCGGTAGCGCCGCGAAGGGGAAGGCCGCGGTCAGGGCTCCCATCGAGCCCGGGGGCGGCGGCGGCCCGGGCGCCAGCAGCCCCGCCCCAGGCGCGGGCGGAGGCCCCGGATCGAAGCCCCCTTTGGGCCCGGGAAGCGGGGGGAGGCCGGCGGGCCCCAGCTTACCCAGCGGCGTGGCGTTCGCTCCGGTCGCCATGGCGCCCCCGGGGACCGGCACCGGCGGCGGCTCTTCCTCGGCGGCGGCTTCTCCTTCGCGAACCTTCCGGGGGGGAGGGGACCCGACTACGCTGCCGAGGAGCGCGCGGAGCCCGTCCTCTCACGCGGCGGGCGGCGGCGGCGCGAGACGCACAAAGAGGGAGGAGAGAGAGTGCCGCGGGGGCGGGTTGGGGGCGACGGGGCCGCGGCCTGGATTGGGCCGGGCAGAGGCAAGGGGTCGAAGCCGGCGGCCTCCGATTGGCGGAGCGCTAGTCCTTCTTGATGCGCGCTGCGATTGGCCAAACCGTTAGGCCAGGCGAGGAAATGGCGGCGGACCCCGGTGGGCTGGGAGGTGTCGCAGCGCGCACTTCCATTTGTTACTGCGCGGACTGAGCTCGCAGGCCAGCAAAGAGGGGATAGGATGGGGCAAACTCTATGACGTAGGGCCAGAGAACTCCCTCATTGGCTGCAGGTGATGGAGTCAATCAATCGCGTTTGCCTCGTAGTGTCGTGTGATTGGCTGACTCTACTTGGAGCCTCTCTCCACTCTCCTCCCCCAGGGAGCAGTTGAGCCGGGATTAGACGAGAAGTCGCGGCGGAAAAGCCCGGGTCAGAACGAGAGTTGCGGCGGGGGAGGGGTGGGGCAGAGAGTGCGCACGCGTACATCAGGGCAAAGCGGCCTCTCCGCTTCTTCCTCCACTGGAGACCCTTGGATCTGGAGCGGAAGCCTTACGTGACGTCAGTCCTTGTTCCTGTGGTAACCGGGAATAGTGGGGCCCGAGCGCAGGAGGGGCAGGCTCGGGGCAGGATCTAGGCAAACCGGATCTGTTGACGCCGCAGGTGGAAGGGACTTCCTGTTTTCTATGAAAAAACTAATAGGGCTATAAAATAGGGTATCCTTGTGGAAGGATTCAAAACAGTGTCAGAGCCGGGCGTGGTGTTGGCGCACTTCTGCAATCCTAACTACTTGGGAAGCTGAGGCAGAAGGATCACATATTCCAAGGCCAATCTCCAAACTAAAAGGGCTGGGAAGGCAGCACAATGGTAAATCGCCCCTGGGTTCAATCCCTAGTACCAAGGAAGTAAGTAAAGGTGGGGTGGGGCGGAGGGACTACAAGGACAGGAAAAAGATATTCGGTTTTTTTATACATTATTTTTCAATAGTAGTTGAATACAATACCTTTATTCTATTTATTATTTTTACGTGATGCTGAGGATCGAACCCAGGGCCTCGCACGTGCTAGGCGAGCATTCTACCGCTGAGCCACAACCCCAGCCCCAGGAAAAAGATATTCTTGATAAGCAAAAAATTAAAATTGTATGTAAAAGTCACGGGGGGGGGGCGGGGGGCGGTTACCACATTTTACAGATAAAAGCCAATATTGGGAAGGACATGGTGGTAAATGCTTGTAATCCCCACCACAGAGACTGAGGCAGGAAAATTGCAAATTTGAGGCCAGCTTGAGCAGTTTAGCAAGACCTTGTCTCAAAATGGAGATGTAACTCAGTAGCACAGTGCTTGCCTAGTTCACAGAAGAGTCTTGGTTTCATTCCCAGCACCACATAAAAATAAATTTAAAGGGAAGTGGGCTTGGGATGTAGCTCTGTGGTAGAATCATGCCAGACAAGAGTGAGACACTAGATTCATGACCAGCAAAACAAAGAAAAAGGAAAGGAAATGTGATCTCTTTTGAGAGCTGGGCACCAGGACAAGCACCTATTTTTCCAGCACTTGGGAGGTTGAGGCAGGTGGAGTCCAGGAGTTGGAGACTAGCCTGGGTAAATAGATCAAATAGACCCTGTCTCAAAAAAAAAAAAACAACAACACACTTTCCAAAACACTTTCCAAAAGTACAAAACCTTTCAATTCAGCATCGCACTGCTGGCAATCTGCCCTCAAAAATAAGACAAGTGATTATAAAATGTGTTCAAAGTCCTCTACATTTACTACATCATTGTAATGGTCAAAATTTGAAACAGTGGGTTTCCCTCAATATTCATAAATTGGACTCTTAGGCAGCCTTGAAAAGCTGTTTATCAATACCAGTAGACTAAGGGATTTCTGTGATGTATTACTATGGAGCAAAAGAAGTACATATCACATAATCTTGTCTTTGCAAAACAAAAAGCCTATATGTGGGGGCTGGGGATATGTTGGTGTTACCTCGCCTGCACAAAGCCCCGGGTTCAATCCCTAGCACCACCAAAAAAAACAAAAACAAAACCCTATATGTGTGTGTGTGCATGTTTGTACTACCCCTCAGTTACAGAACCCCACTGGGATATAAAATCTGTGGTTGCTCAGATTATACAAAATGGTATAGACTTTGTGTATAACTTGTGCATATCCTCATGTATAATTTATCTCTAGATGACCTCTCGTACCTAACAGAATGTAAATGCTATGCCAGTAGCTGTTACACTCTACTGTATTTTCTTTTTTCCTGAATATTTTCCATCCAAAGTTGGCTGAATCCATGATGGGGAACGAGTAGGTAGCTGACTGTATAGAGAAAGCTACTGAGAGTTGCACAGCACATCCCCTGTCATTGGTAAGGGATGGGTGGTGCACATCTGTAAACCCAGGTATTCGGGAGACTGAGGCGGGAGTATGGCAAGTCAAAAGCCAGCTTCAGCAACTTAGTGAGGCCGTGTCTCAAAATAAAAACAAGGGCTGGGCATGTGGCTCAGTGGTAAAGTGCACTGGGTTCAATCCCCAGTTTAAAATCATCTATTTTGAAAATGGAGAGAAGGAAAAATTATACTGTAAATACAAGTTCTCTGGAGGAGGGAAGAGCCATTTGATGTCTGAGCAGCTATTGAGTGCAAAACATGTTGGATGCTACAGTAAATGAAGAAAAATCATAGCCTAACAACGGAAAAGAAAAATACACAAATAACAGCTAATAAATAATGAACATCAGGGCTGCAGCTGTGACTGTCCCATGGGGCAGTCATTTTCACGCTTTCTGGTTATTTCAGCTTAATTGCCTCTTTTGAGCCAGGATTTTTTTTGAGTATTTTTAAATTACCAAATTAAAATATTTTTATTATTTTTATTATGAATTTCTACTTTTGTTACAGTTATAACATTATCTTGAAATATCTAAAAAGCATGCCCCCTCCGTGGTACCAGGGATTGAACCCAAGGGCACTTAACCACTGAGACATACCTCCATCCTTTTTTTTTT